TGGTGGGCTTCCAAATAGCTTGAAAAGTGTAAATATATCAATAAAACATTGTGTTCAATTGATACCTGTATATATAGTGGCATTTCATTTTAATCACAGATTGGGGGGGTTTAATGAGAGAATTTGTGATTTTTAAACAGACAAAACCAGGATCCCTGCTACCAGCCAGCTCAGGCACCAGAAACAGGATAACTGACACCAGCATGGAACCCAACATGGGCTAATTTACCATGCTGAGAAGAATGTAGATGCATAACAATAATTAGACCTTAGAATTGCATTGTAAAGCACCTTTCCAAATGATTTGTGCCTGATTCGCTACCATTTAAGTCACCGGAAGCTCTTCCACTGGTTTCAGTGGTGCAAAACCACGCATTATATCTGCAATATCCAAAAGATAATTCTTTTCAGGTTTAGATGGCTAATTGGTAGGGATCTGTGTAGCATTCTTTAGGGTAAAATTAAGATAACACAAGCTATAGCAGTTTGGGGGGGAAAAAACCCTTGTATTCACACAGGCTAGGGACAGACATTACACATAAATCGGTTTAACTGATCAGAAACTGATTTAAACCTGTAACAGAACAGATGCTCAGTGTACATAAAAGTTTCAAAATGGCTGAAACCAGTTTGAGATAAACTTGGCTGAATGTAGTATCAGACTTAACTGATTTGGCTCAAACCAGTTTATGCAATGTCTGTCCCAGACCCCTTGCTGGCTTAAGATAAATCAGAGTCCCCAGCATCCCAGCATGCTCTCTGGGCTGGGCAGGGCTCTCTGCTCCACAGCAGGGCTGGCCACTCCCCTCTGCTCCCTGGCTGGAGCTCTTGCAGAGACTTGTAGGCACAGCAGGATCTGCCTAGCTTGCCCCTGCCCTCCCCCACCCCTTTGCTGCTCAAGCAAGAAATCCCCCCATCCCTCCCTCCCATCTCCCACAGCAGGGACCCCAGTCCCATGGAGCCTAGGCATGTGGTATGCTAGCTAATGCAATTTCACTAGGACAGGCAGACAGAACAGTGACCGCTTAGGGCTGTTGAGGGCTAATCAACAGGTCAGCTGGTAAGATATTTAAGAAGAATTTGAAGTAATGGAGAGAGGCTATTGTTTTGTTGGTGGGGTGATAAACAATGTTATCATCCCCCTGCTGGCTTGCTCATCTTATAGTTTCATAGTTTCACAGTAGCTAGGGCCAGGAGGGACCTGAACAGATCATCTAGCCTGACCCCCTGCAACAGGCAGGAATGAATGCTGGGTTCACAAGACCCCAGACAGGTGATCATCCAACCTCCTCTTGAATTTGCCCAAGGTAGGGGCAAGGACCACTTCCCTGGGAAGCTGGTTCCAGATTTTGCCCACCCTAACTGTAAAATATTGCCTTCTGATCTCTAACCTAAACCTATTCTCCATCAGCTTATGACCATTGTTCCTCGTCACCCCAGGTGGTGCTGGGGAGAAAACGGCTCTGCCTATTTGCTGTTGATCTCCCCTGATGAGCTTGTGGGCTGCCACCAGGTCCCCCCTCAGCCTCCTCTTGCTGAGGCTGAACAGGTTCAGGTCCCTCAGTCTCTCCTCGTAGGGCCTGTCCTGCTGCCCTCTCACCAAGCGGGTGGCCCTCCCCTGAACCCTCTCCAGGCTGGCCACATCCCTTTTGTAGTGCAGCACCCAATACAGGATGCAGTACTCCAACTGTGGCCTGACCAAAGTCGCATAGAGGGGGAGTATCACTTGTCTGGACTGGCTTGAGATGCACCTTTGGATGCATGACAAGGTATGGCTGGCCTTGCTGTCTGCGGTCTGGCATTGGCGGCTCATGTTCATCTTGGAGACAATAATGACTCCAAGATCCCTTTCTGCCTCTGTGCTTTCAAGAAGGGAACTCCCCAGCCTGCATGTATGCTGTGCCACTGCTCACATCTCGCCAGGTTGAGTACAACCCATCCACCACTACTCTCTGGGTGCGCCCCATCAGCCAATTGTTTACCCATCCAACTGTGTTGGCATCAATGCTGCAGTCACTTAATTTATTGATGAGGATGGGGTGAGAGACTGTGTCAAAGGCCTTCTTAAAGTCTAGAAAGACTATGTCCACAGCGACACCATCATCCAAGGATTTAGTTACTTGGTCGTAAAAGGCAATCAGGTTGGTCTGGCAGGACCTGCCTTTGTCAGTTTGCTGCAGACAGTATTAAGAAGCAGGGAGAAAGATTGAAAACTTCACTTTCAATCACTGCATGTACTATACCCACTGCGGCCCCCCCGCCTGCCCTTGCTTCAGAGTGCTAGCAGGGGCCTGGGGGCTGGCAACACTCCTGCCCCTTCAGCAGCGAGCAGGGAAAAGCCTGTGATGGTGCAGGCAGACCTCCCTAATCAGAACATCCTGCCTAGGCCTGGCCACGCCCCCCTCAGCTCAGCCCTGTGTAAGGGAAGGAAGGGCTGCTCTAGTGCTCCCCAGCTTCATGCCTGAACCATTGCAGGCATATGCCTGAATTTCCTCGGCCCAGAGAGAATGTCTGTCTGGCTACAAACCGGTTCAGCCTAGCCAGGTCAAACTAACCTGCAAAGATTGAATCAATTCAGGCTCAGGATTTTTGAAAGTCTGTCCCTAGGTAAATGTCTCCTCTGTGGTCTTCATTAGAATTCAGAAGAGAGAAAAGATTAGAGAGAGAAGACCTCTGACTACAAATACAAGAAGAGGTATGCCAGAGATAGACCTAGTATTCTCCTTATCAGTGAGGTTTCAACTAGAAAGAATGGTTTTAACTTGCAGCTAGGAAAAATCATCATTATTATGGGCCAGCATTTTTAACCCTGGGTATCCCATGTCAAGCTTCTAACTTAATATATAAGCACCTATAACATCCAGGTTTTTAGAGGTGCTGAAAAGCTGCCTTGCCTCTTCACATTTGGTCCTGAACCAACCATAACTCAGCTAACTCTGAAAATGAAAGCCTTATTCTGCTAAAGACTTTCCCTCGCTTGTTCACTAATAACAAGCCTAGGAATTTCTGTCAACATTTGGCTATTATAGTCATTCAGGTTCTTTTAAAACATTTAAGCCATTTATTGAATGAATCTATATTGCTTCTGTAGTGTTCTTCTAAGTAGGAGTGTCATCATCACCTACTGTAGCAACATACTGTACTGTATCATTAAATTACATGACAAGATACTGTACAATTCAGAGCTGTAAAAACCTATAGTTTATAAAGCAATATCTTTTAACCATGTGTGCATAATTAGAGTGTACTGCCAGATTGTTATAAACCCACTAAGTAAAAGCAGAGGCAGTTGGATTTTGGATACAGCTAGGAGATGAGGAAGATCTATGAATGTATAAATTAAAAAGACATTTTGAGGTAAAAGCCATGTGAACCCAAATTCAATATTTTGGTTTGACATAAACATTGCTGGGAGCACTTGGCTACAGAACATTTTAAGTAGCAACCAGTTTTAAATACAGAGCTGCTTGTGTGCAAAAGCTAGACAAACCCTAATCTTAAAAAGTGTAATCTAGAGGTCACTAGAATGTGGCATGTATTCAATTGTATAAACCCTTGTACTTTGGGGAGAGTTAGCTATTTAACTGAGTGTGTTTACTAAAGTTTGTTGATAGGTGGGCTGAATCTGGATTAAAACAGATGCAAAGAACTTCATAAAGCTGTCTGTGGCCTTAAGATCAACAAGATTATTCACAACACAAGAATCCTGGAGTTACTATGTTTTATTTGTTGGTAGAGGGGTGAATTCGTGGCATCACAAATTGTCTTGCTGCTCTAATTGCTTCTGCTTACATCCCTACATGCCACTATTGACTTCTGGACAGATTATTTTCTGTAGGTAGGATATGTGTGTTGTTGTGCCTAAGTGTCTTTGATGATAATTTCCCAGCATTTTAAGATCGTTCTTCCCTTTTCATTCAGCTAATAGGTTTGTGAACTTCTCACTGAGAAAGAAGATATGTATTACATTCCTAAATGTATGGCTGAAATCCTTGATGAAGGACTGAAAAGTCATCTTTCTTCTAGTCTCATTAGCCTTCTACTTCTAAATCCACATGGAATAAGCCAAAGCTGTGACAGCTCTTGGAGGATTTATATAATGGCTGAGCTATAAGTGATTCACATGCAATTAGTTAAACTGATAATGGTAGTAACAGCATTTGAAGCACTCCGAAGCAGCCTGCTGCTGTCACATGATGTCCTGAAAGTCTGTTTCTCTTTCCACACCCCACAGAACAAACATCTGAAACTGATAGCCTGACTTGATTTAACTTTAGTCAGTTGGAGTCAGGTCATCCAGGCTGAGGACTACCCTTGGGAAAGGAAGGAAACTGACTCCACAGGAAGTTGAAGAGTTTCTCCCACTAGGATCGGAGGAGGGGAACTAACTTGACTCAAGATGCCCCATCGTAACTCACTGCTCTAGACACATTAGCAGTGTGGGCCAGTCACACTGAAATCTGTTTGCATGGTGAGCAAGTTGGTGCATTCATCAAATATTTTATATGCCTGTAGTTTACATACAGGCTATTTTTTTTCTGTAAGAAGAAAACTAAATTCAAATAAAAACAAACAAAAATAAATCTCTCCATATACACATCTATTATAGTCTAATTATTAGACTATACATGGCTGAGATCAACTTTTATCCTCTATTTCACCCATGCAATCCCATTTTTTTAAATTATCTATATTGTTCTCCACTAACTGTGCATTATTGTTCTGAAAATGGATGGTACATATATTATACAGTACCAAACAGCTGCAGACCGAAGAGCAAGGCATATCAGGGATCCAAAACTCCCACAAAGTGGATATTTCCCTGTTTAGACAGGCAAATTCTGACAACTCTTCTCTCTTGTCTTCCTTTCTTAGAAGAAAAATTCAGTTTAACAATGATTGCACTACAGGTTTGAATATTAATGGTAAAGTACTGTGTCTGCAGTAGAACACAGATTAGATATTTGGACCCTAAGGAGATCTGGGTTGAAGCCTATGCTCTTCCACACACTTTCAGTGTGAATTTGAATCAGATTTTTAACATTTTTAAGTGCTTACAAATAGAGGCATCTCAATGGAAACTAGGTCTGAAGTACTTTTGAAAATCCTACTATGTGCATATCTGCAACTGCAAGGATCTAAGTACCTTTAACAATCTGGTCTGTATTTCAGTTCATGCTGTGTAAAATGGGAAAACCAGTACTCCTCTATATCCCTGGGAGGCTGTGAGGACGAATACCTGAATGATCCTAAAGCACTCTGATACTATGGTAATAAGGGTCACCTAAGATTGCAGGTAATGTATCATTGATTGTGTTTGAAAGTGAGTGTAGGTGTATGTAGGAGGGGTCAGTTTTGTTCCTCATAAAGAAAGGTCTGTTTTTGTAGAGAATTTTCAAGATTCATGTAGTTCTCTCAGTTGGAACTGGGGATAGAACCCAGACCTCCGACATGAGGGATCTATGTCTTAACTGATTCTGCATGTTACCTTTCAAAGTGAATTTATCAGATTATAAATTTGCATGTACAGTTTATAACCATTTGACACTATTCTGCTGCTTCCACAGCCAGGAACAGAATCCAGGTCCTTGACATATCAGTTCTGTTTCACAAAGATTTTTGTAACCCACTGGCACAGTGTATGCTCTGTCCCCCTGTGGACCTTTGTGGGCCAGATCTAATTTTTGGCAGTGTGGATCCAGCCTGTGGGCTTCAACCCATATCTCCTAAGCTGTCGACCCCTGCTGAAACATACAGGAACTGAGTTTGAATGGGTAGTTTTTCTGATTTCTGCATGCTTAATTTTGCAATCACTATATTCTTTTTAAGCAAGGTTCTTTGAGTAGATGTGATATCTTTTATTAGACCAACTGATAGGTTAGAAAAAAGTTCGCAGCAAACTTTCAGGTGCCATCACCCTTCTTCAGGTATAGGAAGTCTCTGCTGTTCTGAGATTCCAAGGATATTCTTTTTACGTAGTTTTATATGTAGTATTTCTAGTGGCAGCTAGATAAATGTGGCCCTTTCTCAAGCTAGGTTGAGACCCCTTTTGCAACTGTTATGCTTACTGTTGGAATAGCTTTACATCATAAGAAACTGTATTCTAAAAGGGATTTTAGTATCAAAACACTAGTATTTGTTTTGTGTTTATATTTTCATTAATATGGTAAGTGTCTAGTGTTAATATTGTGCTAATTCTTGCTGTTTTCATGCCTCTTTTAAGTCATCCAATTTGTATTAGACCCCTGTAGAAAATAAATACTTTTGCAATGTCCATGAATTAATATAAACAGAGAAGGAGACAAACAGAATAATTACCTAGATTGTTGTTAAATATAGCAACTCAGTATCTGAAGCTAATGTGAACCTCTTTACCACAAAAAAAATCAGGGACAAGGAAACATTTTATTGCTTCCATCAGCTGCAATGCATGGTCCCCTTGGCTATTCCTTTAATCCAAAAAGCTTCCTGGTAGATCCAAGATGTGCGGCCTTTCTGTAATGACTTGGCAAGAGAAAGGGTCCAGAATTTCTCTGCAAACACAATTAAGTTGTCAAAGACAAGTACCGTGTTTGAATTAAAGCTATAAATCTTTCATCTGCATCTACTCTACATCAAATAGCAGGAAAGAGGCCCTCCCATCTAACAGTCTTAATTACCAGAGCCCTGCAGTCTTTAAGCATGACAGAGTGGAAGACAGCTGACCTTGTGTTCCAATTGGAGAGCAAGGGGATCGACCATTTAATGTATGAGAATTAGTGCCTAGAATATCATAAAAAAGAACATAGCCAAGACAGGAGATTAAGTGCTCAACACATTATTGGGACTACACAGATAGATAACAATAGCCTTTGCTTTGATCCATTTATACTGGAATAAGCACTATTTGGAAGACTTCATTGTGAACAATTCTGCCTGCTAACAACCACTCTTTACAATCTTCCTCCATCCATAAACACCAAAAGTGTCTTCCTTCCATTCCTGCATTGTCACTGGCACAATTGTACTGTAGGTACATACGTTTTGATAGTAGACATGAGTTTCTACTACTGTGTCATCCAGCTCTGTTCAGAGCAGATCAGTGAGCAACAAACTGGAAGGAACCCCTGGTTCACCAAGCCCAGGCCTCTTCAGTGGCAGGCAACCATGTAATAAACATTTATCAAAAAGGATCCAGAAAACATCATACCAGTCCTGCCAGCCCACCCCAGCAACAAAACCCTGCAGAATACCCCCTGACATGTAGAATCTTTAATTACAAGAAAACCTTGTACCATAGGAAGAGAGCAGGAAGGACAATGGTGTCACCAGTGCATTAGGTCCCTGCATTGGTGAAGAATTTATTGGGTAAAATTCTAGGAATTGGACCATTCTCTGTGCTTCCAAGAAAGGTAAAAGCCCTCAATAGTCCTTCCCAGTCTGACCTGTGTGGAAATTCTTTCTTGACTCCAAATGTTGGGATCAGTTTAACTCATCCCCTGTGATCACAGGCTCGCATATAATACACATTTGTCCAAAAGGGGCCATAACAACATTAGCTCAGGCCCAACCCACACACGAAAGCCACAAAGCACCTACAAAGACCTCCATAACAAACTATGCCAAGTAGCAGCGTAAGTGGGGCAGGCCGAGCAAGCCACCAGGCCCTAGTGCTGACTGTAAGAGGGCACCAGACCCTCCCCCCCGGGGGGGGGGAGGTGTCTTTGCTATGGCAGGGGCATCCTTATGCTGCCATAGGAGCCGAGCAGGGCAGTACTGCACCAAGCAATGCATTTGGGAGGCAGGGGGCAAGTGAGGGGAGTGGAATAGTGGAAAGCCCCCAAGAGCCTTTACTAGAGCAGGCATAGACCTGCTCCCAATATGTATGGGAGGGAGGGAGCAAATGGGGCCCCAGGGTCGGTTCTCATGGAGCCTGGCCATGAGGCTGCTGCCTCTGGAGCTCAGCTATTATTGCTGCAGCAGCAGCAGTAGACCAAGGTAAATCTTCTCGTCCCTTCACCTATGCCCTGTCCTTTACCCCTGCCCCTGCATTGATCTACAGCAGTCAGCATACATCCACCCTGGGCACTCAGGGTGCTTATGGACATTTAGGGGGTCTCAATCTAATTCATGGCAGTTTATATAAAGCGCCATGAGTTAGAGCCCTCCACCCCAACCTAACAGATGTTCACTTGTTGGGTCAGGGGGGCTGAAGCCTGCGTGCACTGTCCAGCAGGCAGGGGCACTCCAGCAGCCTCCAAGGAGGCTGCCAAACCTTGCCCCCCCCTCCTCCCCCACCAGCTCTGGGACTGTCAGCAGGGTAGGAAGGGGAGGAGAAAGGAGCAGCCAGCTGCTTTGCCTAGCTGCAGCTGAAGAGGGGTGGGTGGGCAGGGTGAAATGGAGCTCCCTTACCTCATGTGCCCCTCCAGCCACCCTGGCTAGGGTATTGGGGGAGCCAGGTTGGGCCTGTGCAGACACTCCAGTTCACCCTTCCCACTACCCGCCCCCCACCTCCAGTCACGCAAAGCAGCCTACTGCTTCTGCTGCTCCTGCTGCTATCAAGAGGCCAAGGCAAGGGGTGGGGGAAGGGAGTCCCCCTCAGACTAGGGAGTCCCCCTATAAACCCAGACCACATCCCTCCGGTATTCCAGTCAGGGTAGCTAGGGTGGGCCCACAAGGTGAGAGGGCTCCATTTCACCTGCCCCCCTCCCCAACTCCAATTCCAGCCAGGCAAAGCAGCTAGCAGCTCCATGTTGCTTCCTCCCCCTCCCCTCTCCCTGCAAATGCCTGGAAAATGCAAAAAATGAAACATGGAGGGAACACAATTTCCCTAAGGTGCTCTGCTTTAGTGCACCTTCAGCTAATACCTGATTTGACCAAGGTTAATTTTCTGCACAACTGGCCATTTAAAAAGCTCTCTGCTGCCATGCCCATATGTTACATCATGGCTGTAGATTGCTTTCAGGGGCCTGATCATGCAAAAATGTAACTTGTTTAAACACCCGCAGTGAGCTCCCTATGCCTTTAATGTCAAGAGCTCTCCCTAAGGGTCTGCACTGACAAAACTAGTGAGTTATATGCAGTGAGTGAGAAATAGTGGATCAGACTTCACGGCTATTGTATGAATGAGAAGCAGGGTAGATTTGCACCTTATGACTAACTAAATCAGAGATGTATACATTTTCATAAGCAGCAGCTTGCTTTATCAGATGCTAAGAAGGGACTGCAGGAAGCAGAGCTTCTAAATAGAAGGAAGCAGTTAGATTACAAAGCGTAGGGAA